CAGCAGTACCTGGTTTAGGTGCTAATTCGGGTTTTTCATCTGGGTACCTCCTTTCTAAAATACTACTTGGCACAACATCGAAAAGTGAATTCTAGAGGAGCCTCCACTGCTTGCTTAAGCAAGGAGGAGTTCTGTTTTGCAGCCACAGCATCTATGACAGCTGTTATAGAGAGAGAGCTCTCATCGGGTTTCCAAGCAGCAGTCATTCAGGCTGTTTTCAGCACTCACACCAGGATTATCACTGCCATTCCTTCAAGTCCAGCAGAGTAATCCAGTAACACTAGCAGCTACTCAGTACTGAAAAGTACTGCTGAGATAATTCCAGGAGAAGCCAGACTTTGAGAGATCGGTTGCTGGTCTGGGTTTCCCACAACCTGACTGCCTGCACGTGTACCTGGAGCTCCCTCGAGCCATAAGTCTGGTTCAGCATTCATGCCGATGTGTCATGCCCCCTTTCGATGGATGGTGGATGAATCTCTGGGGAAAGCTAAGAATGGGGGAGAACAGAGTACTACACATGACTTCAGTGCATTTTTAACCAAAGGTCTTCAGATGGCAATGTTGCCCCGAGTAAGACTTCTTACCAATCCTATTAAGACGTGTGTGCTCTGCTAATCATTGGCCATTCTAAGAGCAGTGCTGAGGAATCAAAAATATGTCTTTTCTATCTTTTAATTTAGGAAATACTGTACAGCAAAAAAAAAAAAAAAAACCTCAAACAAAAACCAAACAAACCAGCCCCCTCCACCCAGCCCCCAAAACAAAGATTAAAACTGGCTGTACTTACTGAAATGCCCGAATGAAAGCTGCTACTATTCTATTATTACTTCTAGCTTCCTTCCACTTAACTGTGGAGTTTCTTTTTTATCCAGAACCCACCTGTGCCCTCCCTCAAATGGCAGGTAATGACAACTAAAACAGGGTGGCTTTAGGTAACACTAAAGCCCATTACCCTTACCAGCCCATTAGTCTTCCAGAAGGATTCATGTGCTTCATAGCATCTGTAGGTTTAGGGAAACACATAGGTTTCCCTAGAACTAGAGGGCAAGGTTGGACCTCCTTGCTTTTCAAGCCCTTTCTAACTCAGCTTGAACGCACTCATGCCAAGGTGGCCAATGCGGGGCAGGGGGAATGTGAGGGAAACACAAAAGATGTCCAGAACAGGAGTGATTAGTCTATGAGAAAAAACAAACAAACAAAAAAACTATTAAATGTTATAATATCTCTTAAGTTCAGCATGGCTCAGACTGTAGCTGAGGTTATGTTTTCCTCTTCTTCCATATTTACAGTTCCATGTCACTGCTGCCTCTGCTGTCCTAGGCACAGTAAGGTGGGAATTTACTAGTTGTGAGTTTGGGGCACCAATGAGTTCAAGGAGGGCTCAGACTACAGAAAAGGGATATGACCAAAGTGGTGGTGGATCTCAGGGAACAGGAGACATTTTCTTCCTGACCACCGGGTGTGCTTGTGTGTGTGGGTTAAGCAGAGGCTGCACACAGATGAGTATGACACCTGTATCTTAGGGCTACCTCTGTATATTGCTCCGTCTATGAGTATAGCAAGGACCACAGCTTTTCCTTCCCATCTTTCCCTGTGGAGGTTTCCCAGTAAACACCCTTTGTGTGCTGTGTCTCCCTCTCTTACTGGCCTATGGGTTTTATACTCCCTGCAGTGACGTAGCTCCAGTAGGAAAGGTGATGTTTGACCCTCAAGGGTTTTTCTTGAAAGATGGCTTGGGTCCTTCAGGTCTTTGTAACCAGTAAATGCTCTTTTAAAAAAAATGGCCACATCTACATATCCAAGGCCAGAATCCCTCCTGCAGCCTGTCACAGCTGTGCCATCTGTTGAATTGGGCTTTTCAGATCACTGAGGCAGAATAATACCTCTGTTAATGGATGCTGCTCAGTTTTTTTAGGGAGCCAGGCACTGAGCTCTTCAGAGCGGGACCTTCCTGACACAGCCAAAATTCTGGGAGTCTGCGAACTTCGTCAAGTAAGGAAGCCCCAGAAAAGCGATATGGCTTCCCAGTTTAGGTACTAGCCCACCAGCTTCAAAATTTAGCCAGGCTTTGACAGGCTTTTTGCTGCTGATTAGAACCAAGTTAAAACTGCTCCTTTTTTATTAATGTCAATTTGTGAAAGTCTAGGAGACAGTTAAGCTGTGGAAGGACAGCCAGTGAGCTGAGCAACAGCAATGGTTTAGAAAGGAAGAGAGCTTGGAACCTGCAGAAGAACACTGGGCCTGGGAGAGGAAAGAGTTGGAAGAACGTAAGTCAGAACAGGAGGAGATTTGTGCTGATGCAGTACTCCCTGCATGTGCAGTTCTTTTTCTGAGCTAGCAATTTCCAGAAGGACCTGAAGAGGTTCTATATGTGAGAATCCTATAACAGCAGAGCTGTATTATGTTGTGGGGTTGTTGAGTAGAGATGACTTCTTGGAAGATAACAGCAGAGACTTTCTTGAAGAAAGGCACTTACAGGAAACACGGCTCTGGGAGGTGCCACCACTGTGGAAGGCTAACAGAAACAAGCATTATTTTTTCCCCAAGATGTGTGATTTTTAGGAAGTGTCATAAATGTTCCTCTCAGAAAGCAGATGTTCCCAGGTAGAAGACTGCCACTTTTCCCTTTCTCCTAACTCTCACTACTGAGTGCATCCTTGTATTTTTACCTTTTTCTAGCGCAGCAAGCCTACCTCCTCTCTTTGCTCTATGTATTGCTGTTATTTTATGCAACCATGAAAGGATACCACAGGGCAGGCCATTTTCAAAGAAGTGCTAATTTTATTTTTCAACCAAAAGCTCACATTTGTGTCCAGCTCATATGTCACAAGAACACGCACAACTATGGGGCAATCCAAGTTTTTTTTTTCTGAACTGGACAGTTCCCAAGCTGTTATTTACCGCTGCCAACAAGTATAGCTGTTTTGAGGCTCTGGACCACACATTCTGGCCATCTCCTGCACTAGCCAAGATGAGAGCTTAAGGTAAAGTCACCAACTCTTTGCCCAGCTCCATGGGACCCACACTCCCCCCAGGTTAGGAGCCCTCCCTTATTCTTACGTAGCAATACTGAAGATTCCTAAATATATGATCTGTGCGAGGCACTACTGTGTACAAGTCCATGGACCATCTACATGATGGAGATAACACTTCCTAACAGGTAATTTAAGAATTTTATTCTAACATTAGTATTAACTCAGTTAGAATTACAATCCATCCCCAGTTTCTCTCCAACTCATGGTACATAATTCCTGCTCAACAGGGGAGAAGAAAATCAGTAGTTTTCAACATTTTCAGTCTGCATACCGAATCTTGGTAGAATGCAGTATAGCAAGCATAAACCTGCCAGTAAAGGCTTGCTTAGTTACCTTTTCCATACTCCTTAGAAATCATTTACAGCCTCCAGCATCCGTACTTTATAGCACTGAAAGCCATTTCCCTGCTATATTTGACTTCGTCCAACACAACAACTTGCTTGTGAGCCAGCTCTGTCAATGAAACTGAAATAGAAAATGGTTCATATGATCTCATCTGGTATTTCACCAGAAGTTGATGAAAAAAAGCCGTCTGACTCTTAATTTCTCAGCACACTGGATCAGAGAAGGAGAAAGCTGTAACAGCAGCTTTTTCTTTCTCCTCCTTTTTTCTCCACCTTTTTTCTCCACCTTTTTTCTCCACCTTTTTTCTCCACCTTTTTTCTCCACCTTTTTTCTCCACCTTTTTTCTCCACCTTTTTTCTCCACCTTTTTTCTCCACCTTTTTTCTCCACCTTTTTTCTCCACCTTTTTTCTCCACCTTTTTTCTCCACCTTTTTTCTCCACCTTTTTTCTCCACCTTTTTTCTCCACCTTTTTTCTCCACCTTTTTTCTCCACCTTTTTTCTCCACCTTTTTTCTCCACCTTTTTTCTCCACCTTTTTTCTCCACCTTTTTTCTCCACCTTTTTTCTCCACCTTTTTTCTCCACCTTTTTTCTCCACCTTTTTTCTCCACCTTTTTTCTCCACCTTTTTTCTCCACCTTTTTTCTCCACCTTTTTTCTCCACCTTTTTTCTCCACCTTTTTTCTCCACCTTTTTTCTCCACCTTTTTTCTCCACCTTTTTTCTCCACCTTTTTTCTCCACCTTTTTTCTCCACCTTTTTTCTCCACCTTTTTTCTCCACCTTTTTTCTCCACCTTTTTTCTCCACCTTTTTTCTCCACCTTTTTTCTCCACCTTTTTTCTCCACCTTTTTTCTCCACCTTTTTTCTCCACCTTTTTTCTCCACCTTTTTTCTCCACCTTTTTTCTCCACCTTTTTTCTCCACCTTTTTTCTCCACCTTTTTTCTCCACCTTTTTTCTCCACCTTTTTTCTCCACCTTTTTTCTCCACCTTTTTTCTCCACCTTTTTTCTCCACCTTTTTTCTCCACCTTTTTTCTCCACCTTTTTTCTCCACCTTTTTTCTCCACCTTTTTTCTCCACCTTTTTTCTCCACCTTTTTTCTCCACCTTTTTTCTCCACCTTTTTTCTCCACCTTTTTTCTCCACCTTTTTTCTCCACCTTTTTTCTCCACCTTTTTTCTCCACCTTTTTTCTCCACCTTTTTTCTCCACCTTTTTTCTCCACCTTTTTTCTCCACCTTTTTTCTCCACCTTTTTTCTCCACCTTTTTTCTCCACCTTTTTTCTCCACCTTTTTTCTCCACCTTTTTTCTCCACCTTTTTTCTCCACCTTTTTTCTCCACCTTTTTTCTCCACCTTTTTTCTCCACCTTTTTTCTCCACCTTTTTTCTCCACCTTTTTTCTCCACCTTTTTTCTCCACCTTTTTTCTCCACCTTTTTTCTCCACCTTTTTTCTCCACCTTTTTTCTCCACCTTTTTTCTCCACCTTTTTTCTCCACCTTTTTTCTCCACCTTTTTTCTCCACCTTTTTTCTCCACCTTTTTTCTCCACCTTTTTTCTCCACCTTTTTTCTCCACCTTTTTTCTCCACCTTTTTTCTCCACCTTTTTTCTCCACCTTTAGGTATTTTTTTGCACTTTTCCTTTATGATCTAGACTGGTAGCTTGGCCCATAAAGATAAAGGAAGTCTAGATTGCCAGAAGATGTGTTCTTTTTCTACTTAAACTATTTCAGTTAATTTTATGCAATAGCTTACTTTGCCACAGCAGCCTAACAGTGACTGTACTGATAACTTGTCTGGCAATTACTCCTGTAAACCACTTCTTCATGCTAGGTGAGATTCCCTGATCAAAGAAAGGCTGCAAACAAAGACAAGTGACAAAAACGCAACACTGTGTCCTTGGCCTCTGCAGATTTGCTTGTATGACAGAAATAAGCTAATCCTAGCAAGGCAGCACTTTAAAGAGTAATGTAATTAAATTATTTTAAAGCAGGAAAATGCTGCCACCGGTCAATCCTGTAATCTCTTGACAGGTATTTTTGTCAGGTTTTACTGTTCTGGCAGTACTAACAGTGTGGAACTGACATGCTTGTGAGTAATGAGTGCATGAGAACCTCAGGATTGAATCACTCGCCTAAAACCATGCTACTCTCTATCCCGATCAAGACCTTTTATTTATTTATTTAGTTATTTATTTATTTGTCTTATGGAAATACACTGTTCTTCCTTTAATGAAATATTTGTCCTTGAGAGCCAGACAAGCTCTGGAGTACCTGGAGAACCTCAGTCAGAGTGTTCTTTCACTGAGTGACCTGAAAAGTTGAAATAAGCACGTCTCGTGGTGCCTTGGCCCAATGTTTTATTCAAATTTGGTATTACTATAAAAAGTAATCCAGCCCTGGGAAACAGGTTAGTGGACATCATATTGAAGAATAACTTGATGGGGGGAAGAGGGGGGAGAAAGCTTGTAGTACAAGGAATAGGGGGATTTTTCCAGCATATAGGGATACGTAGCTTGCAAAGCATTGCCCCATTCATTGGCCCAGATATGCTACTATAAAACTTCGTTAGCATTACACCAGAGAAGACCAGCTCGGCAGTCCTGATCTGGCAGTCCTCTTCCAGTCAGGTCAGAGGTTTACCTTCCCACCCTGCCTTCTCGTCCTGTTTTCTTTTGCTAGCCCAGCACTCATGCAGGCAGTTATAAGACAAAACATGCTATGCTTCATCACAGTTCTAGCATTTATGGCTGATCATCCTTGTGTGTCTCTGAGTCAGATTTGCATCCACCCAACAAAGGCAACTCATTTTGACAGGATGATACAGCAATCAGAGTAGCAGTGAGACTGCCAGTCAAAGCCTTTGAGTTTTTTATTAGTTTATGCTGTCTCACTAGCCGTGACAAAATTGTACGTTAGAGTCATGTTTCTTCCTGCGATACTAAAGATATGAAAACCTTCAGCAACTAGTTACCATAACAACAAAGGTGACTCCACGAGTATTTTTTGAACATGATGCTTTTGAGAAGAACATGTGATAGATCATAACTTCTTCTCCAATAGCAGATTGTGTCATTAAGCCCCTGCAATCAAGGTGAAGAGGAAAGACGTTACAGCCCACACTGTTTTATGCACAGCTGTGTGCAAACAGTGGGAGTCGTTTTCAGGAGTATACCTGGGACAATGGAAGGGCAAGGGCCTTGCAAGCCAGAACGTAAACCATTATGAGGTCAAGATGCTAAACACATTGCATTTTCTTGGAAATGGCTCATGCCTCTTAATACAAACCAGCTAATAAACCCCTGGGGGAGGCAGCTGGTATTGAGCGACTTTCCAGCTCAGCAGTCTCATGACGTATATATTTGGTCACACATGACTGTGGCCCAAGGAGGAAGTCGATCCCAAACTGCCCTATAGCATATCACATGCATTTTAAGGTGGAAGTGCAGATGATAATCCAACCTTTTCCAGGCTGGTCCTGGTCTGCCCCCCGCAGTGGCTATTCTATGTGGTACCTGGCAAACTACAGAGCTCTTCAGAGGAGAATAGCTTTTAGGCCCCTTACTGTACACAGCCAATGGTAGGTCTGATAATCTTGATTACTGCAAACTGGCCCTTCCTATCTGTCACTTGTGTAGCATAATAGCAGGAAAAACACAGGACTAAACACCAGAGCAGTCAGCTGGAAGGTTTTGGTCTCTTGCAAACTGCACGGCATTATGTATGCTGTAGAACAGCAGTTCCTGCATGCTTCCAAAATCCTTCCCAAAGTAACCTCCTCTTTTCAAAGAGTCTATTACTGAGGGATTGCAGCAAGCCAGGAGAACAGAAATGTTGAGCTCCTTATAGTCTTTCAGTATCTCCTTCAGAGTATTAACTCCAGTGGTATCCAAAAATGAGATGGAGGAACAATCTACAACAATGGCTTGGAAATCAATTTGCTTCGGGACTAGTTGCGCAGTGGTTTCTCCCATGCCCAGTCCATTGGCGGTTGTGTGATCTCCCTTTTGCAGTTGCTGCTTTTCCTTCTTCTCGTATTTCTTCCTTCTAGCAGCTTCTAGGTTAGGGTCTAAGGCAGTCAATCTGTACAGAGACTTCAGGAAATAGTTACTATTTGCGTAGTAAAGTGGTGCTTCAAAACGGAATATTTTGACCTTTGGAACAGAAGAGAGATTTTTATATTCCAAGTCATCCTCATAAAAGCTGGTGTTCTGGATCTGACCAAGCAGGGCTGTCCGTGGCCGCTGTGTCCGACCAATGATACACAACATGGAGAAAACAATGCCAACCAAAAGACCTATTTCTGTGCTAATCAAGGCAGAGGCAGACATAGTAATGACCCAAACCAGTGTGTCCACTTTGTTTACATGGTATCGCACCGGCACATCTCGGAACTTCCTCAGGGCTCCTCGGAGGCTGACAATGATGATACAAGCCAGGACACACTTCTGCAAGGAGTAGAAGAGAGGTGCCAAGAAGAGCAGCACCAGCAAAACCACCGTTGCACTAATCACTCCAGAGACTTGAGTCTGACAGCCTGTAGATGTTTTGACAAGCGTTTTTGCCAGAGCTGCACTGGTTGCGAAGGAGTGGAAGAAAGAAGGAATGATGTTACAGAATCCCACAGCAAACATTTCCTGATTGGCTCGGATGGTGTAAGCATATTTCTTTGCACACATTTCAGAAAGGGATACAGTGAAGGCAAAGCTGACTATGGCAAGCGGCAAAGCATCTACAGCGACTCGAAGCATTAAGTCAAAGCGTGGTACCTTGGGGGGAATAAATCCTGTTGGAATAGCTCCAGAAACACTGGATGCATACACTTCATTCAGGTTCCCATAATGTGACACCAGTGTTGCCACAACAATAACTACCAGCTCTGTAGGAAGGGGGAATTTCAGCTTATGCTTATAGCGATCTCCCAGTTCTTTAGCAAGGACCAGCACCACAATACAAATGGCACTTGTGATGACATCACAAAGGTTAGCATGAGAAATGTTCTGGAAAATATTGATCCAAGTAATTACAAGCATCCCATGCCCTTGGCTACGTGGGATTTTTATTCCAATCAGATACTTCACTTGAGCTGTTAAAATGGTTAAGGAAGCACCAGTTGCAAAGCCATCTAGCATAGACTCAGACAGGTACATAGATACAAAACCCAGACGAAAGATTCCCATCAGAACCTGGGGAGGGAAAGAAAAAAAAAAAAAAAGATGAGCTTTACATTCATGCTGCACACAATTAAGTAGAGATGGGAGAGAACTAGATGCAGGCAGGTAATGCTTGCCTGTTTGAATCTTAAAACAACAAGTATGTTATGTTTCTGGTCTGCTTTTAAAACATGTGAATTCCTTTTGCTGTTGTGGGATACTACAAACAAGAGATCAGTGATGAGTTTAAAGCAGAGCCAAATCACGCTCTGTAACTCCAGCCTTGGTGCAGGTAACTCCACTGAAGTGGCTTGTCTGAGTTTTATTTCTTGAACGAAGGGGCAGTAGATCCAAAAGCGCTTCTGTTGTATCAAAACAAGTTTCACTTTTTCCTGGCTTCAAGTAATTTAAAGTTACAACTGCAGCTATTACTTTGTAAATTGAACTTTAATGACAACAGCTAAGATCTCTACTCTAGTGGCATT